TATTATTATTATACAAAAATAACAACCTGCATTAAATAAAATACCTTTGACCACAGTAGGACGGTATTTTAAAGTCTCTCTCTCATATATATATATATATATATATATATATATATATATATATATATATATATAGACAGAGAGAGGTCAGTTATGTGCCATGCGTGATACACGCTTAGGCGATCATGTATCTTTCGATACTGGCGAGGCAGATTTTTTTTCACCGCAGTAGGTTGTCATTTCTTCTGACAGTAGACCAGTTTCCTGTAACCCGTAGTTGGGGGAGAGGGAGAAGAAGAGGGTATTAGCACGTAAGTGAATGTAATGGATTCGACTCGGCTCTCCGATTCCTCAATCCATTTTACTCCACCGTACCGATTCACTAAAAAATAAGCATACCATGATGAAAAGGGAGGCCGAAACTTTATCAAAAAAAAGTTTTATCGTCAGAATTTTTGTTATTATTAAGAGGAAAGATCAAAGGATTTTTTATGGAATTTTTTTTGCGCCAGCGTAGTGGTGGGTGATGGCAAAGATTAGTATAGATCATTTTACCAGTGTTTTTTTTCTCGGTGAAAACACATTAAATAATTGTCGGATTTTAATGAAACATTTGGTACTTATTCACAAATTAATTAAATTATTTAAGAAATATTTGATTTTTTTTAAATTTTAAAAATATTGGTATATATATATATATATATATATATATATATATATATATATATATATATTTTTTATTTAAAAATATATCCTTAATAATAATATTTTTTGTTTCAAAAACGAGAGCCGAAACCATCCAAATAATTATTAAAATTAAGTTGAGGTGTTTAGTCCCGTTTCATCTTCAAGCGAAATTTTAGGAATAAGCTATCTCTTGGTTTACGTGTGTTTTTAGGCATGGTCCGTTACAACATTCGTTATTGTGGGAGTGGCTAGACTATTTTTCTTCGTTAAGTGGTCAGAGAGTTAATTCTTATCAATAGATTCATCATCTTCTGAGAGGTTTTGCTAAGGTTGGGTAGGGTATCTATTTCAAGGCTAATGTTTGCGGTCATCCTTTGGTTGGTTTCCAGTGAGGGATATTTTTATGGCGCGCCTACAAGTCGTTATGTGTCGGGAGGATTGTGTTTTATTATTGTCCATCTGATTATCTATTTATTTATTTGTTTATTCAACTTCTGTATGGAGCACTGTCTTCTTAGAAATAAAAACAAAAATACTAAGGAACTCCGGATTATGCACCCAACGGGTTCTTTTCTATTTTCTGCATACCTGCGCACTTGTATATATATATATATATATATATATATATATAAACATCTTTTATTCTTTACTTTGTTAATTATGAAATTAAATTTTGTTCATTTATATTAGTTAATAGAACTCCTTGGAGAATTTAAATCGTACATTTCTTTTTGTATAACAAGACCCCTCACACCCAGTTACCGAAAATCTGCCCTGAATCTTTAAAATAAAAAATGCATTAAAACTAAGACATTATTCAATTAGAAAATCTTTTAATTGCTTATACGAATAAGATATATTATGGAAACTATTGTTTTAAGAAAAATTATTATCAAAGAATAATGAATTTTAACAAAAGTTGTTTTAATTTTTAAAATTTTAATTCGAATAATTTATAAAGTTTAAAATCTTAAAATTCTGTCAATTTGTCCGGGTAATTTTTTTGTATGTGTATAAACGTGCACATTTTTGTAAATACGGGCATCCATATACAATATTATTAGAAATTGAGCGATAACTATAGTAAATTTAAAAGATTACTGAGTAGGTAAAAATTATATATAAAAGAAAGGCGCTCACGTTACATTCCTCAAGTACTTTTTACAGACACATTTTTTTTACAGATATATATACCGTAGTAAAACATTAGCTAAATTCTCGTCAATCAGTGAAGCTGTCAACACCTTAAATAAACAGCTACACCGTGTTAAAAAACACATTTCTTTTTTAAAATTAAAGTAATATTTGTTTCAAATCAGCTTAATTAAACTTTAAATCGGCTAATATTCCTCAAATAAAGTTTCAGAAAAGTGTGTATTTTATTTTTTTAAGGTTTTTTTAATAAAGAGAATTACACCGTGAAGACTAATGGCTAAAAGTGGCGCTAAAATCAGCTATTTTAGCAATTTTAAAACGAAAACTCTTTCCAATCAATTTAAATTAGTTTTGACATGCTGAAAAAGTATTTTGCTTATTGGAAATATTAAATTGAATCTGTCAGTTTGAAATTAAAACTAAAATAAAAGCTTCAAGAAAGATTTTCCATTTTTAAAAATTAATTTCGACCCTTAGGTATCGCGTTTATGTGGCGCTACCGATCTCTCTCTATCTATCTATCTATATACATACAAACATATATCATACTTATTATAAAACCCAGGTTGTGTGTGTGTGTCTGTACGTTTATATATTGGATCGGATTTCCTACATTTTTCAACCGATTTCAACAAAACTTCACAGGACTACGTAAAATTACCTTGCGGTGGTTCTGACAGCGCCAAAAATTGGAAAAACACAATTGTTTTTGCACAAAATCATTTTGAAAACACGATTAAGAGGCATCGCGAGAATGAAAGGGGAACAACTCATATCATTTTATACTTATTATAAAACCCAGGTTGTTTGTGTGTGTTCGTTTATATATGGGATCGGATTTCCTACATTTTTCAACCGATTTCAACAAAACTTCACTTTTTTTTGGCAGGTGGTGTTTCTTATTGTCTTGCACACTTTTTTCTTTATTTTTACATTCAGAATGCTTTAAAAATTTCATTTACAAGATAATTGTTTATAATAAAATTCTATTCAATCGGTAGACTCGTAATGATTGAAAACAATGTTTTTGTTTGAGTTTGGGTTTGACCAATTCGTAAAAAAAAATTAAAACAAAACAAAAAACAACTAATTAAGACATGCGTGTCCGTCAAGTTTAAACAATAATCTTTGTCAATTTTATTTTTCAGTCTTTATGATGGTCGATACTTGATCTATCTCTTACTGTTACATCCCCGGGCAACGCCGGGCTTTACTATATATATATATATATATATATATATATATATATATATATATATATACATTCGCGTATCATGCGACTTTTGAAGTCCTAATTTTAAGGGGTTGCATCATGTTGCACGAGATATAAAATTTGCGGCTTTACTGTTGGTCCTGGCTACGCTGTTGACCAAACTATATATCCATTTATATCCAGGTCTTGAAAGGTCGTATGCTACGCTAATATATACGCGTATATATATATATATATATATATATATATATATATATATATATATATATGTGTGTGTGTGTTTGGTCTTTTACTTTCAAAAAGTACTGAAAAGTACTCTCTGAACTATTTCCCAAATTCTGCCCAAACATCGGAATCTATTTGAAATCTATTCTTGATCAGACCAAGAAGTTTTCAGCACCCACCTCATACTGTGTCTTCAGTAGCAAGTTTCAAAAACAAAAACAAAAAAATGATAATAATAGCGAGACTCTAGAAACTTTTGCACACACTAATTAATAGTTAATACGCCGCCTATATTTTAATTTTTAATTGTTTCTTGTACGAGAATGCTCCCGTCCAGTAGCTAGGCTAGGTGGCGGTGTTTGTTATAACAATGACACTATTCCAAGATAACTATGAAGTCAATAGGTGAAAAACAGTCTCCATCTTCCGTAAACATTTTGGAACTGTCTCACATTGTCATCAAAATACATAGCCACCTACAAGGGAGTTAATTCTAATTCTAGAATCGGTTAAGTTTTCTGATCAAACAACTTTAAGCGAAAAGGAATTAGGAAAAGCAAGGAAGAGGACGATGAATAAGCGTAAAAGAAAGTGAGAGAAAAGTAAAAGCAAAAGATTGATAGGAAATATGAGAGGGTGAAGGTTTGGATACGAGAGATAGACACAGACAGTCTCACTGGGGGGATATCAAGAGAATGAGCGAAAGGTAGAAAGACTGGAAAATTACTCGTGATGAGCTAGAGCAAAAGGAAGCCCGAAATCTAGTACAGTCGACAATATTTATGCATTCTTTATTCCTTTAATGCAAATGTACCATTTTAGATAAAAGCATGGACGAAGATTGAAAGCGATAATGAGAAAATACAGGCAAGGATCGGGAGAAGAGCAGAAACATGAGATAATTGATAATTTCCACGGGCTTAAAGAAATTCACGTTTTCTTTTTTTCTCTCTCTCTATTAACCTTAACAATATTCATCGATTTATTTTACTTTGTCGCTATCCACCATTTCCTTTAAATTTCTGGTAATTTGTGTTGAGAGTGTGTTCGTGTGTGAGGCAGCTAAATCAAGAGTTTCTGATCTAAGTGTCGTTGGGAAATGTTTTCTGTGACAGATGCATCATGTTAGTCGGAAAACCTTTAATGAGTAAATCATGAGCCATATCCAGAGTAAACGTGAACTGTATTTTTCGTTACCGTTTCTTTTTATGTCATGACCTTTCAGGAATGAGCAATCATGGCTCGCCATAGCTTCCGTAATTTTGTTTCGCAGAGTAATTTTTCATTTTTGTTTTTTATCAGCTATGCATCTACTCAAACTCCAGTAGATTTCACGCTGTTTTCTCCTGCATCACTTGCCTTCGTTATGCGTTATGAGTGTTAAGTTCTCCAATACTCCTTTCCTTATTATGTGTCCCAGAAATTTCAGCTGTTTATTTCTGATGGTTAATATAAGTTTCCTTAAAACTTTCTCGTTATTCGCATGTTCTATTTATAATATTCTCAATGGTAGAACCCCACTGTGTTGCTTAAAGTCTCTTCTTCATTTGTGAGGAGATTGTCCATCATTCACTGTCATATTGGAGATTAGATATTACATAGCATTTTAGCGCTCTTTGTTTCTAAGAGCATTTTCCTATCTCTTAATATTCTGCCTAATTTTCTGAAAGGCATTTTTCTCTATTCCTATGCATCGAATTTATGCATAACACTTTCTGTCTTGCGGCCGCATCACGTTGAAATACCGGTTCCCGTACGATCACCGAAGTTAACCAAGTCAAACCAGGTCAGTACCAAGATGGGTGACCGGTTGGGAATACGAAGTGCTGTAAGCTTGGATGTGCGGTGGTGTAATGGATAAGGGATCGGAATTCTTAGTCGGACAACCGAGTTCTAACTCCCGTTGGGTTCGTTATATTCACTTACGCGCAAATACCGTTGGGAAAGGTATGAATCCACCTCTTCTCCCTCTAGATATGGGTTAATTCGTAAGACTTATATCACTAAATTATTATTATCTAAAAAAAATTTAATCTAAAAATATTTTCTGGCTTTAATCTGCAAATAGTTGATAAGTCGTAAAATCCGAATCAATCAATACTTTCCGTCATCTGTTGCTACACTACCCAGATAGTTGAATTTCTGTACCTGCTTGATGTTGACATACCCACAACGTAGTTCACACCTTGGGCTGTCTTATTTGCTGGCAACCATAACAATGCAGACGCGACATCTATAACAAATTTACGTTTGTTTATTTTTATTGTTTTAGCAACCTGGAATCCCTTTTATTTAAAGGTCAATCGCTACTGGGAGCAAGAAAGCATAGTTGTAAAAAGAAGGTAAGTCCAAGCCCTGGTATAAATATAAATTTCACAATATTGAACGTCCTAGGACTTCAAATGTTTTTGGACGAGTCAAAAACTTTGAAATTCTGCCTTAGCCACTTTTTAGGATGCCTGATTTTCCTCCATTTTGATTATAGGCATTTTCGGAGTAAGTTGATTTCATTTGTGACTAGTAATATTTTATTTATTTATTTATTTTAAGTCGTACAGTTATATTAGAATGTGCAATAATATTTTCCTCTGGAATATGAATTTTTATAGGACTTTATTCCAGCACATGGGCTACAGTCTTTGATCACTACGGCACCGTTTACCTCTCTCTCTTGTATTCGTATTTATCGTCCGATAGTTTTAATTCTTTACACGATTTCCTGATGCCTTCTTGCCAACCAAACACCTAGCTTGACGCAAAAATATAGTTCCAAGCTTTATCTTGTAAATTTTCCTTTTAGATCACTACTTGGGTTAGATGTAGCCAAAAGCTATGCCTGTAAGCTCGTGGCGATAGTTAATACGTATTAATGATTTCAAAAACAATAAATTATTGTTTCTTCTAGTTAAATAATAGGATGCCCAACATTTTTATTTAAATGTTTTTGTGAGCTTTAAAAATCTGGCTGCAGTACTTGTCACATAATTCAAAGTGTATTGCGGCTTGTTTTTTATAAACAATATACACAGAATAGCTTCTGAATTAAAAAAAGTATTGTTATTATTATTAATTTTGAGACTTTATTCCTTTCATATAATTTCTGCTGGTTTTGCATCTCTCAGAACAGAAATGTAGCTCTGCGCATGCGTAACGACAAATCCTTTGAAATAAAAAAAAAAAGCTAATGGTCTTGTTACAGAAAAATAGAAGCCCAACACCAAGAGACGCTAGTTCAAATAAGCAACATAGATCGAAAATAAAGAATAAGCTTATTACTTATTTTCAATTCACGCTGCTTATTTAACTATCGCAGAACAACGATTGAAATAAACGGCAATAGATAAGATAAAAATGATAGTAAAACTCTTCCAAGTATTTTCATCTAACCGCTTTTGAAAAATATTGAAATCAGCTGTCATTCTTTTATCATTCAAATCTATATCTATTCTCATCTTACCAAAACAATACATACTATAATGTAAAAGAGTGAAATAAGGTAGAAAAAGGGATGTAGTGGTAAGGCATTTAACAGTAATTGTTTTACAGACTGAACCTGGGGCAACGACTAAAATTTAGAAAACATAGAAGCCAAAAGGATACTTATACTTACCATCAGAAAGAGACTACTGACATTTCTAGGGCACATAAGGAAAGAAGGCTTTGAAAATTTGACACTCACAAGACATACTGAAAGCAATTTAGATCTCCAAAAATTTAAATATAATGTCAATTGTTATCATTTATCTTAATTCTCGTTCTTTTATTATCTTCTCCCCTTAATAGTATATTCTTTATATTCTCTAAAACTCTGTAAAACATCTTCGTAGCTTTATTGTTTTGCTTGAGGTGAAATGATAAAAAAGGGGGCAGAGGAAAACTAGCGTATAACCTACCTAAAGAGCTTTTGTGTAAATGGAAGGTAGAACAGAGATTAGAAGAGATAGCAAAAAGACAACATTTACTAAGATCTACAAAGGACAGGAAAGCGTGGAGATATATGATCGCCAACCCCCTGACGGGACATGGTACATAGAAAAAGGAAGTGTGAACTAAGTACATAGTTGTAAATCAGTTGCTCGCATTCTCAGATAACATGCTTCCGCTTTCAACCTCAGATTTCGTCAATTTCTCTTCCATTTTGAAATGTCATATAGCAATTTTTTTTACTGTCATACATTTCATTATAATTTTTTAGAATGTGTAAATAAGCTTACAAGATCTGGAAAGCCGATCTTTTTTCAACTCTTCTTTGAGCAACACTTTTCAAGCCTCAACAATTTAATCTCAAACGGGATTAAGTTATAAGAAGCAGTTCTTTTTTGAATACGTGATCGGCCTTATAGTCGTGTCTTTCTCCTCCTCTATTCTCTCTAACCCCTTATATATATATGTGTGTGCGTGAGAGAGAGAGAAAATTGTATGTACATTCTTTTCCAGTTTGATGATCCATTGGCTAAAATTCTTTTCCTTAGAATTAAAATTCCTCCCCCGGGATCCAAGTGCCTCCTTTCTGAGAATTACCGTAGAGAGTAAAGTGTTAATATATCCTGCCATTACTAAGAAAACCTCTTTTGGCGTAGTCACTATATGGGTGACAGTGCTTGAAGTACTATACAATTTAACCACTTATCTACAACTGGTTCTCAAACTATGGTTTGCGACCCAATTAATAATTTAATATTAAAACAAAAATGCAATTATTATTAAAATTAAAACTGAAACAATAATTTTATTTTTAATAATTTCACTCCCAAGCAAGGTGATAAAAGCCACTAAGATGCAAGATGTTAATGACAGTGAAAGATACAGAGGGAAAAAGAAAATAGTTCAAGGAGACAGTTGATGACAAATGACATTCACTTACATTTTTGAAGATCGTAGTTGACAGGAAAGCAGGAAACCGGGAAAGAGTTCCAAAAATGAGAAGTGGGAGCGAAGAAACTATTAGCATAGAACTTACGGTTACAACTAGCAATTACAACAGAGAAATTGAGACCTAGCTGCCAATCTAGTTCTGCACTTAAATTCGTAAAGTTGAGGCACCAAAGCGGAAACCTCATCAGAACAATTACCATGAAAATATTTATCGAAAAGACACAGAATCTACATTATAGCGGGGGTGAGAAGAGAATAGAGGAGGAGGGGAGAGACACGACTATAAGGCCGACCACGAATGCAACAGGAACAAAAACTGCTCCTTATAACTTAATCCTGTTTGAGATTAAATTATTGAGGCTTGAAAAGTGTTTCTCAAAGAAGAGTTCAAGAAAAGATCGATTTTCCAGATTTTATAAGTTTATTTACACATTGTAAGAATCTAGGACCGATGACATTGTAGATTCTTTGGATTTTTTTTAAAGAATCTCTAGACACAGATCGAAAACACTAGACCAGAGGAGGCAGCACGAATGGTAGACTTATGTGTACGATAGACTGTCGAGAAAAATGGTTTAGCACAACATAGTAAACCGACTTTCCTGGCGGTAGACTTAGAAATTGATTTAATATAGCCGTTCCACTTCGTATCGATTGATTTGATTTTTTCCGGCTTATCAACCTTTTGCAGGTTATTTAAAGCCAGTAAATATTTTAGATTGTAAGAATTATTTAGAGATAATAATGATTTATTGACACAAGTTCTACTAATTAACCCATAACTGGGGGAGAAGAGGTGGATTCCTACCCTTCCCAATGGTATTTGCGCGTAAGTGAATATAATGAACCCGACTGGAATTGGAACACGGCTCTCCGAATTTCCAATTCTAAGCCGTTATACATTACACTACTTGCACATGCAAGTTTACAGGACCTGATATTCTTGAGTGGTTACCCAGCTAGGTACTGAGCAGACTCTGTTGCTTAACTTCGGTGATTGTACAAGAACCGTTGTTACAACATGATGTGGCCGTAAGCCTCATGTTAGTGGAAAAGGTAAGGTGTTGTGAATTGCTCTCCGTGTGGTTAGAATCATTCATGGTGATGAAAGCAAAAACAAAAAAATGATGATTAATCGAGAGCAATTTCATTTTAGAGTCGTTATCTATATTTATAATTCTCAAAATGTGTGTGTGTGATCGGATGTTTATGCGTTTCCGCACTTTTCATTCGATTTCGAGGAATTTTTTTTTGTTTGATAGATAATTCTTCAGTGTCGGTTTTGAGTCCAAATTGACTGGAAAAAATTACAACCTTGAAAGTGAAAACTCGAAAAAACTGATTTTTTTACACTTTGCTTAAAAATCAAAGGCAACATTTAATGTCTGTGTAAAAAACAACAACAAAAAAACAGCGTTTTAGAGAGTTGAAATCTAAGGCAAAAGATTATTGGAATTATAAATAAATATTATTATTGTCGTCGTCGTCGATGAAAGAGGTTCCTTCCTTGCAAGATTGAGAACGCGAAAACGGTCCTTTTCAGAATTTGGGGATATGCGTCAGTTGCATCCAATTGTTGTTAATAATACTGATTTTCGGGTGGACTGACTTTAAACTTAAACTGCTCCAATTGAACGGCAAAAATTCCCAGTAATGAAAGACCCGGGCGATGATGGGTTATACTGCTAGTATGATTTTATAATGAAATTTACCGATGTTTTCGCCTATTTATATATTAAAAGAAAAAAAAGAGGATAATATTTTCAACAGCTTCGAATCTAGCCTTAAGCAACAAGTTAACCTTAGATCTTTTCTCTTCAGTTCTTGGCACCATTTCCTTATTTCACCGTTTTGTTTCCTACTATGCTGTTTCAGTGTGGGCACCTCGAGGTGCTGTAATGGTTAGTAAGCTTGTCTCGCTAGAACAATTACGACTGAGTGAGTTCCATCCTCACTGG